AAGCCCCAGGTAGCTTCTGGCTGGGAACCACAAGAAAGGGTTAGGCAACTCTGTGACAAAAGGAATAAAACTAAGTACAAATCAAGATTTAGGCTGCATTATCAGCCTCCCCACATGTCTCCCACCACATCACTATCAAACACTATCAAAAGGAAGGAAGGAAGGATGAAAAAAATCTACATTGTCAGATGTCTATCGAGGCAAAGAAATCTACACAGTCTAGAAAATCCAATAAAAATGTCAATGGTGTGTTTCAAAATATAAAACAAATATTACTGAAATTCATATGGAAACACAAACAACCCTGAAGAGACAAAGCTTTACAGATGAAAAAGTGAAACAATGGAGATATCACACTTGTGAACTCAAACTATGCCATAAATACATAATAATTAAAACAGCACAGTACTGGGAAAAAAGTGACACAAAGACCACTGGAATAGAAATGAATGTCCAAAATAAAACCATACATTCATGGACAAATAACCTATAATAAAAGAGTGAATTATGTACACTGGAAAAAAAGAGTATCTCTTCAAAAAATGCTAATGGGAAAACTGGACTGCCACATGAAAAAAAATGAAATTAGACCAATGTCTCACACCACACCTGAAAATCAACTAAAAACAGATGAAGAACAATGATGTAAGATCTGAAACCATAAAATATATAAAAGAAAGAGAGGGAAAACATCCCATGACACAAATTTCAGAAATATCCTTGATGACACATTTCAAGCAGCAAGGAAAAAAAAGGGGAATATAAGAAACTGGGACTCCCTCAAACTAAAAGCCTTTAGAGCACAAAAAACAGTAACCAAAATGAAGAGACATCCTACTGATTGGGATAAAACATTTGCACATCATACATCTGATGAGGGTTTATATTGTAGATCTATAAATATATTTTATAACTAAACAAATAACCTAATCGCAAAATAGATGGAAGACCATTCCTCCAAAGAAGATATGCAGATGACCAATAGACATATGAAAATATCTTCATCTTCATTTATTATCAGGAAATGCAGTTCAAAAGCACAATGTGATACTATATCACACCTGTGAGAATGGTCATAATAAAAACACCCAAATCATCAAATGATGGAGTGGGTGTGGGGAACAAGGATCATCCTTAAGTTGGCAGAATGTAGACTGGTCCAGACCCTATGTTCAACTGTGTTGAAGTTCCTCAAAACACTAATAAGGATATGTCATATGACCCAGCAATTCCAATCCTAAGAATCTACCCAAAGAACATATAAATACTAAACATCAAAAGCAATGTGTATTCAGAAACATCAATTCCAAAGAACACCTGCACCCCTATGTTTATAGCAGCACTGTTTACAATAGCTCAGCTTTGGAAACAACCCAAATGCCCAAAAATAGATGACTGGATCAAGAAGATGTGGTACATATATACCATGGAATATTACTCAGCATTCAAAAAAGATAAACACATGCAATTTGCAGCAACATGGATGGCGCTGGAAGGGATCATGCTCAGCGACATAAGCCAAAAAGAAAAAGAAAAATACCGGATGGTCTCACTCATAGCAGGAATCTAGAAAACTTAAATAAGGGACCAGGAAAATGAATATAAGAAAGTGAAAATCAAAATCAACAAAAAACTATGAACCAGAGACACTTTTTGGGGGTGGGGGGCGGGAGGGGAAGGATTGGGGTCAGAATGGGGCGTTTGCATTTGTATGGGGGAATATAAAAATAAAATTTATTATTTAAAAAAAATAAAGCCATTAAAACAAAACAAAAAAAAAGAAAACAGATAGGTTTCTCAAAATATTAAAAAATAGATCTTTCATATGATCCAGCATTTCCACTTCTCAGTATCTATCAAAAAATATTAAAAAAACTAATTCAAAAGGAAAAAAAATAAACAATGTGTATTCCTATGTTTATGGTATGATGATTTATAATAGCCAAGATATGGAAACAACCTCAAAGACCCAAAATAGGATAATGGATAAGATATGGCATGTACTCAGTGATTAAAAAAGATATAATCATGACATTTGTGACAACATAGATATAGCTGGAAGGGATTAGAAAATGTGAAATAAGTCAGAAGGAAAAAGATAATACAGGATGATTTCATTAATACGTAGAAAATAGAGAGACCAAAAAAGTCAGACAAACAAAATCTTGAAAGTTGACCATAGATCTGGGGCATTCAGGATGGGTGAGGGAGAGGAAGGGGTGAAAACAGGAGGGGGAAGAGCACATTGAACTATGAGGGAGGTTCTCAGAAAGGTGATGTGGTGTGGCTGGAACAGAGGGGTGAGCAGATAATGGAGCTTGTTTGTCAGTATGGTGAAATAGCATGCAGTTGTTGAGGTGTAAACCTATACCCCTAAGACCTACACTGTGGTGTAAGTCAACTTTACTCAATAAATATAATCAAAGTAAATAAATAATTGGAAAAAAAAGATTTTGATTTTTGTATGGCATTAAGACAAAAAAGTAATTCATCCTTTATATGTATGTCCACCACTTAGTTTATGTCTTTGTGTTAAACTTCTATATCTTTTAATTCCATGTTAATTCATACATTCTTTCTTTTTTTGTTTCTAATCATTCAATTTTCTCTCAATAAATCCTTTCAAATATGAGAGTATATGAGTCTGTTTTGTACATATATCTCTGTATGTTTATAAAAATAAGATTATGTGAAAATAAAAGTACACATATACATAGAAAATACTTCAAACATTTAATTTTGTTTTCAGCAAAATATGGCCACAAATCTCATTTCCACATTGCAACAATCATCTAAAATGATATTTACTACTCACATTTTCTTCAGAAATAAGGAAATTGAGGTTCTGAGAGAATACGTTTTTCAAAGTTCCCCAAAATGCCATTAAATCATATTGCATACTTCATTTAGACACAAATGGAAACATACAACATGTGCTGCAGCTATGTATAGCTCTTTCTATTCATCAAAAATTACATTGTAAATATGCACAACTTATAGTATTCTTGTTTAATAAACTACTTAAAAGAAAAAAATTTTAAATGTCTGGATCAGAGTTTAGTACACAGACAGGTGACTGATCAAAGTAAACAGAGGTGAGAGCTATCACTTCTACTTAAGAACAAAGGGAGGGCCTCTCTGGTGGCGCAGCATGTTGAGCACAGCACTGTGAAGCTGTCCACAGTCTCCGTAGCGGGTGTTCAATTCCCAGCCGGCCAGGGAGATACCCACATGGTATGGCAGACCCCTCCTGCCTCCCCCACTGCTACCCTCAGCAGTGCCTTCGGTCTATCTACCTGTTCTGCTCCCCGCTCTGTTTCTGTTGAATCCTCTCACCCTCCCATGCCTCTGGCCTGTACCCCAGCTTTGTTTAAATTAAAAAAAAAAAATGTTTTTTTAAAAAGAACAAAGGGAAATATCAAATGTAAAATAGGAATCACAGAAATAAATGAAAGAAATTCACATTTGAAACTCTTTCTGCAAAAATAGAAGATGGGAGTAGATACATAAACACGGTGAGCTGAGTGTATATTCTTAGGAGAGAACCCTGGTACAGGCATCACTCTTCAAACCTCAGAAGCACAATGTAGAGACTCAAATTGCCTGTGGAGCCCTGAAGAGCCCAGCTAGAGCAGACAACTCATCACACAGTTTTCCTGGTCCTCAAGGCCAGATATTAACTCACTGTAAGTAGGATGGCTTGTCAGTAGCAGCTAGATGATACTACAGTCACTGTGAATAGAAGTGAGGAGAGTTAAAATAATCTGCACTTTTTTTTCTTTTCTTGCATTCATTGTTTAACTTATTTAACTTATTTAACTTATTTCAGACCACTATATTTAAAAATTCTATGCAGTTAATTCCAGGTAACTAGGAGATGGGTGTTTTTTATTACAAAAACTAGTGAATCTGAATCCATGACTATACAGGAATTACGTTCTCTCATAATCATTCTTTCATCATAAAAGATGATAGGATCCCATGAATAATGGAGTTTTATAAAGTATGATGATATAATAGCATTAACTCACTATCATTTTCCTTATGAAAAAAATGAGAAGGGGAACTCTTTTCTTTAGAGCTAAGAAAGCAGTCCTAGCTTTAGTAGCATCAAAAAATTTTGAGAGAAGACATGACAGCAACAGAAGAAATTTTTTTTTCAATTCCTATCACTATTAACCCCCTTACACCCAGACTTGAATCCTCCATGTTTGAAGATGTAGGTGTACCTCATTAAACACATATATTTTGTATTGTAACATAATATGTGATTTATTTTTATCCCATCATAATGAAGATTATCTGTGATTCTAAGGTCCTATTAGGTCAATATATTTATTAAAATGAATCTCAGTGATGATTCAAATGTGTGATAATGATGTGGGCTTGGAGTAGGGGTCTTCCCAAACACTGAGCTCAAGTAGAACAGGATATTAAGGAGGCGAATAAAACCTAGTGTGTATGGAGCCCACTGTATGTTAACATTTTGTTGTCAGGAGGGTGGTTAATGTAGTGATCACAAAAGGATAACACCCTCAAAATTGAAAAGATTTGTTATTGTACTTCCTCTGTTACCTCTGTAATAAAATTATACAAGTGTCCTTGGTCATCATGTGTTTGCCTTAGAGTAGCAGAACCTGATGCTTTTTAACTGCAACAAAAAAAAAGTACTGGTATGATATGTGTCACTTGCAAATAATAATTCTAAAAAAATACATTTTGTCATTTTTAAGTTAATTGTAATATCTGCATTTTTTCTGGTTTAAGTTTGGAATAATTTTGGTAAAGTTGGAAAACCACAGAGGGAAAAGCTGTTAGAGATCAAAAAAGAACAAAAAGTTCAATAAAGTGATTTACATCATTGAATAGAAATTGAGGTAGAAGAGGAAATTCCACAATAAAACAGTGAAATAAAACAGCACGTTCTACTTCTTAGTTTGATCAGTAAAACCCAATTTCTATTAGTTTCTCTTGTCTAAAATTATGGTGCTTCTTCCACCTTAGGACAATTGCCTTTTTGCAGTTTTCTTTACAATGAATGTTGTCAAAGCCACCTTTATGTCTTTGTTCCTCAGGCTGTAGATGAAGGGGTTCAGCATGGGTGTGACCACTGTGTATATCACAGAGGATATTGCACTTGAGCGTGAGCTGTGGGGAGCAGCAGAGCTAAGGTACACTCCAATGCTTGTACAATAAAATAAGGAGACAACTGAGAGGTGAGATGCACAGGTGAAAAATGCTTTATATTTACCTTGAGTGGATGAGATTCTACATATGGAGGAAACTATCTTAGAGTAAGAGAAAAGGATACCAAAGAGGGAACCACCTCCCACGAAGATAGATTCAAAATATATCACCATATTGTTGAGAAAGGTGTCAGAACAGGCCATTTTGATCATCTGATTGAGCTCACAGAAATAGTGTGGGATTTCTACATTTGTACAGAAGGACAGCCGTAACAACATTAAGCTTTGTATTAAGGAATACAGAACACTGATGATCCAGGAGACCAGAACTAGCAGCCCACACAGCCGGGGATTCACGATGACTCTGTAGTACAGCGGGTGGCAGATGGCCACAAAGCGGTCATAGGCCATGACGGTCAGGAGGAAGCTGTCCAACCCTCCAAACAGTGTGAAAAAATACACCTGGGTAATGCAACCTTCATAAGTTATGGCTTTGCTTTCTGTCTGGATGTTCACCAGCATCTTTGGGATAGTGGTGGAGGTGAAACAGATGTCAGCAAAGGACAGGTTGGAGAGGAAGAAGTACATAGGAGTGTGGAGGTGGGAGTCTGAGCTGATGACCTGGATGATGAGCAGGTTTCCAAACACAGTGATCAGATACATGGTGAGGAAAAGCCCTAATATGAGGGGCTGCAGTTCTGCTGCCTCTGAAAATCTCAGGAGAAGAAATTCTGAAACTTGTATATCATTGATTGATTTCATATATTGCAGGTGACTTGTACGAAAAAGGGAAATAACAAGATTTATTTCACAAACTTTTGTTACTAACCTACTTGAAATGCCTCCATTTATATTTTTGTGAGAGTTAATTGTAATATTCTGTGTATGATTTCTTTAGGGGATCCTCAGTACAACTCTGATAGAGAATTTTTGTCCCAATCAAATTTTTTCTCTGGATTATTGTTATACAGTTTTACTAATAAATTATTTTATTTCAGGAATGTGTATTGAATGTTGACTGTGTTTTTGGCACTCTCCAGGCAAGGTGTCTAGGGTGTTATAGAACAAAATTCCAATTCAATGGTAGAGAATGTACAAGCAAACAATAAAATTATATAACAATTTTGAGGGGGGCCAGTTTGGATGAAATAAAGAAAACCAAGTGAAAAAAGGAGAATGAAGATGGCTTTAGTTTTTCTTGGGTTTATAGAGAAGACCTGTATACATGCAACATTTGAAAATAACCTCTAGTAAGAGAGGGAAGGGAGATGTGAGGATATGTGGGATGCGAGTGTCCAGCAAAGGGAACAGAAAATGCACAGCCCCTAAGCTGATGCTTGATTCAAGTAAAAAGTATGACATCATCTGCAGAGATAAGAATCTATAAATAAAACAAATTACTGAATGAGGATGGGGAGAGAAGCAGGATGAGGAGGAGAGATGCGAGAAACAAGGGAGAGAAGAGATTAAGTGAATAAAGGGGAAAAAATTAATAATCAAAGTGGTTTCTCAGAGAATGGGTTCAAGTGTACTTCTCTACCTTGATTTTATTTTCTGATACCCAACTAAAATGATAAAGAATAATAACGAACTTTTGTGAAGCAAGAAATAGTGATATTTTTCATCTATTTATGATTAATACCTTACATATTGTACACCCAAGTGAAAATGGACTGTTTTTCTGTGTCAGCACAAGTGACATTTGGGCCAGGTGTTTCTCCATGGTGAAGTCTGTCCTATACATTGTAAGATATATGGAGCATCCTGGTCTTCCCCTATCCCTGGCTGTGAGCCTGCCTGAAATGTCTGTGGACATTGTTCAGTGTCCCTGGGGAATAAAGTTGCCCACTTATAGCCATGCTTTGAACTTAATCTCCACATAATTTTTGAGTATTTTAACATCAATTTACTGATGATAATTTAATGATTTAAAAATGATCAACATTGTATTTCACACTGAAACATTACACATCCATTGAAATAAATGCATTCAGTATTTAATCAAGCGAATGAACAAACATAGGGCTCTCTTGCCTTTGGGTAAAGGAAAATTTCTGTCCTCATTTTTCTCTCCTGGGTTGCTGGGCTCACCTGGACTGGGTCTCTGAGAGAGTCTTGTGTGGAGATCTGAATTCCTTATTGGATGGATGTATAGAGACCTGAGCTCTGTACCCAGACGAGACAGCAGGGTGGAGTGAACCATCTATCTCTTAACCTGAAATAGGAATGGACACAAACACACACACAACAAAAGCATGCACATTCTAGCACAAGGTTATATATGCCAGGAGTCCATCTCTAGCTGCTCATTAGTCACATTTCCTCTGGTTACTCCAAACTCTATGCATACAAATCCCCTGTGGAAAATGTTCTGGACAGAAATGAAAATTTTCTTTGTTCCCTAGAGGTCAGTTCAGAATACAAATTAATTCCAATTTTTCACTCATTATGAACTTGCCTCATTTTAGGTATCTAAATTTCCTAGTGCATTTTCAGATTTCTGAGTTAATTTTTCTAAACAGGGCCAAGACTGAGGAAAGGTGTGGATTAGGTCCCTCACATCTTCACTTCAGCAAAGCTTTGGCTTATGCTGGAACACAACTCCTGGTATCCAGACATTTGCTGTCATTCTTCACAGCAGGGAATCAAGCTGACTGCTTGTGATAATAGAATACTTCACTGAACTCAAAAGCTTCAAGACCCTTTGCTAAAATGATTAGAAGCTTTTTATTTATGTCAGATTAAATATATATTATATAGGTTGTTTTATCCACCCTAACCTGACTTTGGAATTAAATAGGGAATCTGTGATTTAATTTTTAAGAATATACATTCCATGAAGAAGTGCATTTATGAACTTTATTCTCTATTGCAGACAGTGTTCTTGATGGGGTTAAGTCATCTGCCCAAAGTGAAATCCATCAAAGTGATGGCCCTTACTTGAAGTTATGTGAGTATATATATGTCCATTCTCAAACTCTGGGTGTTAATTCACAACTAGAAATGAGTTTTCCCAATGGGGACATTTGACAGTGTCAAATGGGCTGTTGCTGAACACCTACAATCCACAGGGCAGCATCTCCCATGACACCAAACAATTTTATTCTGCACCAATTCTCAATTGTGTGAAGGTAAGAAAACCCATGTAGTTCAGAACTTTCCCTCTTTTTGATATAGGGAAGGTTGAGGGGCACCCCAAGACCCTAAACCTGCCTGCTCTATGCCTGCTCTTAGTAGGTTCTGCAACCCACTGCTTTACGACAAAACATGCTCTAGTGTGTATGAGAAAACACACTAGTCCTTTAATGGAAAGGGACTTTAATATAATTAGTGTGAGATATAGAGAAGAGAAGGCAAAGCATATAGTTTCCAAATCAAGCACCCAAAATTCCCCATCCCCTTGTTGGTAAATATGCAGCCAAACAAGTTTGGCCCAAAGCAAGGCCATTGAGTCCCAATACCTTCTGACAAATCTAAGGCACCTTCTGGTTGTGACATATAGGAAAGGTACAGATTGGCCAGGCAAGTTTGGGATGAAAGGAGCAAAATTGAAATCAAGATGTAATTTTTCATGGTCAGACTCTCCGTGGGTCTCCCAACCACCTTTGTTCTAATTGTCTTCATCCATGTCCCTCAAGTTCCTGATCCCATTTCAAGGCGGAGAAGCTAGCACAGCTTCCTCAGGTATCTGTCTTCCATTGAACACTCTAAAGGCTGTGTCCACTAACTGGGAAATAGACATTTCCATGGCATCATCAAATTTTTATTATTTTATTTTATATATTTTTACATCATTTTTCATTTTTTGTACAATGTATGCATTTACATCTTGGTTATATCCCCCATACAATTCCCACCACCCTTATTTTGACCCTACTCCTCTCCCTCTACCCCATTGTGTGTCTCTGGTTTATAGTTGTATATTGATTTTGATTTTTACTTTATTATAATTAGTCTTTTTCTCCTTATATAGCAGGAGCACAAAATAGCATAAAAACACATTAACCATTCTAGAATTCTCCATAATTTCAGGATATCTATCTGGGACTGCAAGATGACTGCATTATTCTTTCTAATAATTCTGAAGGATCTTCATTGGCCCTTTGTTGAATCTCCACGATCTTCATGAAAATTTTCTGTTTGGGGATCCCTTGCCTCCATGTTATACTACAAATGCAAAATCTACTTCCTCAGGTCCTGCAAGCCAGGAAACTTGACATGTCTAGCATTCTAGCTTTTCTAATAAGTGCCTGGATGATGTTAGTGCTTCAGATCCTGTCTGTGGGCTACTGTTTGAATAGTAAAGATACCAGAACTGAGCTGCCTCTGTGGCGGGAGCCAGGAACAACAATGGTGTTCTCTCCTTCTGCTCTACCACAAGCCAGTTGTGGCTGTGGCTCCTCAGAGCCCAGCAACTGCCCTTTTATGTGTACTTCCTGAATTGTGGACTGGACCAATCATGTGTGATCTATTATCTGATTGTTGCAAAATGGGTCAATCAGACACAGGTTTGAAAAATTATCCAATCAGTCTTGTGGATATAAGCCTTGGTTGGAGGGAGCTGAGAAACAGGCTGTTTTAGCATCCAATGAAAGAAGGTGAAGACTCTGTTCCTGGCCTCTAAAGAAAGAAGGACCACAAAATGAAAGAAGAAAGAAGAAAAGGAGCATCCAGCAGCCAACCTCCAAGGAGGGAAGAGAAGCCAAAGACGTCTGTCAGAGCCAGGACCTCTGATCCTGCATCTCCATTATCTGAAAGGAGCACCAAGGCCCTGGTCCTGGTATCTCAAAGAGTTGTTTGTGGTTGGTGTAGCCCAACAACTCACATAGAGCTGTTAACACTTGGTGTCTCTGACATAATCTCTGGGGAACCAGTAGTGACCATCGCTATTAGCCAGTGCTGTCCAGCACTCTGGTGACCTGTGGTGAGCATCACTACTGGCCAGTGGTGATCATCACTATTGGCTGGTGTTTTCCAGCTCTGTTGATAGGTGGCCAGTACTGTGCTTTTACTTCTGGTGGATTCTATCTGGGTGAGAGAAGCAGCTACTTGTGGCTGCAACAAGCTCTTTGTTTTCCCTCTTTGTAAAATAAATCCCATGGCTGTTTGCTCCTGGAGCCTGAGGTCTCTTGCAATTGTGTGCACTGGTGAGAACCCACAAACAGTAATCTATCCTTTTATTGGGCACTGTCCTTTGATTAGCTATTGTACGGGTATTTTATTGCTATAGCCCTTGGCTTTTGTTTTTGGCCGTTTGGCCTTTTGGGGCTTTTTGGCAGCCTCATGTCTTGAATTTGGGCAGGTGGGTGGCATTCTGTCCTCTCCCACCTGCCCAAACATCCATGTTTGTTTACCCTGTTACAAACCCCAGAAGGTAGTGCTTCCCCTTGTGATACCACAAAGCATGTTCCTGGGGTACCCATAAGTGTACCCTCTGATCCTGAGGTGAAAAGACAGTTTGAGCCTTCAATTTACTAAGGACATCATGGCATAAGAGTGGAATAGGACAATCCACCATATAAAGGAATCTATGTTGCAAGTTTTGGTGTCCAATTGGCACCTAATGGTTATAGCAAGGCTTTTTTTGGGTGACTTTCTCATAACTCCAATGATGGGTACAATTTCCTTAATGACCCAAGCTAATTTTAAATTTAGAACTGAATAGGTTGCTCAGGTATCAACCAAAAAAAAAATCTATGAAATGATCCCCACATTAAGTGTCACCCAGTTCTCCAAGGGGGTTATTGCAATTGACCTTCTTC